GGCAAAATGAAAGTCTCTTGCATGATAACCTGCGCTCATTTTCTATCGTCGCCTTTTTTGTGTTTTGTGCATTTAAATTGCCAGTTTTAGCAGTTTTATATGCTCGGAACGAGATTGCATCAAATATGCCGCTAAAAATTGCAAAGGCTATTGCGCACTAGTTCCACAGAATTTTAAAATGTCGGACTTTGATGATCCGTGCCCAGAGAGATAATTAAAAATCTCCAATCAAGAAAGTTACAGTTTCGCATTACGACCTTATTCTTTTATGATATCCCTCGCATCTAAAGTAGTCCCTCGAGATGGAAGGATTTTCGTGAACAAACTGCCAACCTCTCAGAATTGCAAGGCGAAAACTGGGATTAGGGTAATGAACGTGCAGCGGCTTCCTGAATTCTTCAAATTTTTCAAAGAAAGTAATTCACTTTTAGGTAGTATTTCTGATACTCTCTCAAACTTACTCCGCATTTGGGTGTTTAATGCGCGCAGAATCTGTGCCATTTATCCATCGCGCTCATTCTCAATTTTTAAGGAGCTAAGTCAGGACGAATTCTATGTTAAATCTCATTTTCATAACCTTCTTCAGGGAACCGTTTCGCAGACATCCCGATTGCAATTGTCGCCGCGACTTTTTACTGCAATACAGTGATCAAAAGGATTGATAATTTTAAAAGTTTTGTCAGCAAAATTTATCTTTTTCGCTTGATATCATTTAAACTCAGGAATCGATTGATGTTTGTGAAACTACCTCAGAAAACGCTGCAAATTCACAGTTGCTCTCATACTCTATCAAGAGCACAGTATCATAGCGTAATCCGGTTTCCGTATCCCTACATTCAGTTGCACCATTGAATGGCTGTGCATGAGGTAACAGCAATCCCCAGGGAGTTAGCGCTGATCATGACGATCGCCGCATTGATGCTTCATAGCCATTCAGATGATCTTCATGCTACATACTCCTCCCTTTGTTTGATATATCCGCATTATCTTTGCGGATTGATGACGGAATCACTTCAAACCTTCGGCAAACCATTTTAAAATGTCAATAGGACGGTGGTACAAGCTTTTGAGGGGGGGCGGTCATTACTTGTGAGTGGCAATAATGCAAGCATCGCGCGCGGCAAATCACACAGTTAGC